CTCAAATTTACAATTTACATGGCTCCTTGTCAACAATCAACACATTTGCGCAAGAAGATTTGATGGGTTATGTATCTAGGAATAGAAACGGTACAAGATTTTTCGGAGATTTAATAACATACTATTATAATATTGATTTTTATTTGAAAAATTCAGTTGAAGAGGTTTCGTCATCAAACGGTCCAATGGATTCTACAACGTTTACACAAAATAACGTACAACATCCTGAAATAATCAAATATCATCAAGAACAATGTACGTGCGATAATATGAATTCATGTTTTCAATTTTATCGTCGATGTATAATCAACAAACGTATCGACCACTCAATATCATACACGAAACGAAAAACATCCAATAGTTATTTCATTCAATATATTAAACCTGGAACCCAAGCATATTATTTCGGGAAAATAGTCATATTTTTTAATCAGCAAAATAATAATACGGTTGCTCTAATACAGCAATATGTTACTGATTATCTGTTTAGTGATTACTTTAAAAAGTGTGCTCATTACAAACCACTCGATAACTTCTTCTTTGTTTTAAAACCATCCAACACATTTAGTATTATACCGGTTCAGCAAATAGTTAAACATTGTGTTGTTTTCGATAATAAGGCAAATAACAATAACTGTATTGTAACTCCGATCTCTGCTTATCACGAGCATGACTGAATGTTATCAATATCTACAGCTGTATTTTCCAAATATTTTAACGATTTTGTGTACTGCTTTAAGTAACTTACTATGCATTATTTTCATAAGTTAATCTGTGAATAAAAATTACGTAGAATCCGAAAACAACAACAACAACAAAAAAAATTACGTAGAATAAGCAACAGCAATCTTTTTTAGACTAAATCATATGAAACGTATTTCCCTTCTTCTCTTTTATGCACTGCTATAATCCACGGAAGTATACCTGCCTGCCTGGGTCAGTGCTGTTATAATTTAAATGCTTGCTTCACGCGATATTATTAGAACTCTATCATTAAAAAATTCAATATACTTAAAGAAACAAGAAAAGGCATAAAAGAATAAGTAAATGAATGACTAATAACTAAGTACACACGCCCATCTTTTATATGATAATTATTCGGGGAATCACACGCGAAGATATTAATAGATGTCGCTTTAAAGCGACCTGATGTTTATTAAGGCTCAATGTATTGTCTAATATTGGACACTGGAAACATATAAACAAGAATATAAGCTTCTCCAAACACTCCAAACAGTGTTTCTAATGACAATTTTGAGCAAAGCGTATTTCCACGGTTTACCACTGCATTTTCCATGTTTTTCCCTGCTAAAAATAGAGCGTATTTTTAAATTTCAAAGCATATGTACGTGTTGATACAATGGGTACGCTTTACTATTAGAAACACTGATTCCAAGTATGAATGGGGGAAAAAGCAGAGAAATAATCTCAAGAGTACGATTTCCACTCCAATCATATGAAATCGTACGACATGAACACGTACGATTTTTACCAAATGATTTTGTACGAATCATATTGCAAGATTTCATACGAAATACCTGACCGTCATATAATGAAATCCGTACCAAACTCGTACTGTAAGAAATCATACGATCCTACAGTGCGAATCATATCACTTCTTACTTCTCGTACGATCTTTCACGATCGTGTATGATCTTAGTACAATTCTTCGACCTGGGTAAGTGTACAATGAACAACCAACATATTTCTGGGGAAATAAAATTTTATGGTAAAAATTCTGACGGTAAACTTTAGTTATAATCCACACATAATTTCCTCTTTAACAGAATCATATAACAACTGTGTCATTGTGCAGAATATAGGAAAGAACAGCGAAGTTGATTTTTGCAGTTCGTCTGCAAAGATCAAGTTCGTGTGTTCGATCCTAGCTTCGTGCAAGGCTTGATTTTGTGTTTTGATAGTTTAAGTTTCAGAATGATATAATGAGAATTTATATTCTCGATTTCGTTCTGGTTCAAGATTAAAGCTTAAACCAACTGTGTTTATGAATTGGAAGAGACAAATCTATCTGTATCAGTATATCGGTAATCATATGGAATTTTTACGTGTAAATTAAGTAAAGTCACTATCTATTTAGGTGGTGCTGGTACATTATGTAACGAAAATCAAGACCATTTTGAAGAAGACAACGAGCATGAACTGGTTGAACAAGACGAACACCCAGAACTCGAAGGAATGAACGATGAAGATATGACAAATTTATCTGATCATCGAACAACGTCATGTAATAGCTTCCTATAGAGTTAACCATAGATAACCTTAGTAGTTACAACGGGTGAGTCTCATACATTTTGATTCAGATCACGTTTGTAACTAAGGAAAGAAGACGTTATCGACAGAGAAACTCTCAGCTAATGAAAAATGGGAATAAAAGTGATATTTTAAAACTTTTCAGTAATCAATAGGAATAACTGATAAACCAAGTCGTACAACGGTATATCAGAACTGTAAGTTCTTTCAATTTGTGTCCAAAACATGTATTGTGATAAGAAGAAGTATTTGTTACGAAGTAGTTAACCTAATCTCATATCAATAGTTGTCGTCTTTCAATATACATATTCTTATCATCATTCGATGGTTATTTTCCCTCTCTGTTCTTCTGATATATGTATTCACTCTTCTGCTTTTTATGATATATATTTTCTCTTTCTGTTCACTCTTTTCCATGGGTATTTTTCATTCCTATTCTTCTTTCTCTCCCACTCTCTCGCTCTCTCTGGCTTGCACAATACCTGTTTTTCTCGGTTTCCCAAAGGGATCTTCCTGTAGCTAAAATATACTATATATAGATGTTAATTTACTGAAATAAAGTATGTATAACAGTTACATTCTTCTTTGGCTATTAACCATTGGATGCAAAACGATTCTGAAAGGAATTACCTCACATATATCAATTTTTTAGTTAACTGTGAATCATCGTTGCGAGGAAGTCGAACTGTTGCTGGTGATGACGATGGCGAAGGAAATGAAAGCGGCTTTCGTGGTAAGATATTAGTATTAACGTGTAATTCCTGTTATGCTTGTATGTTCATTGTAGTTCGTAAACGAATTCAATCGACGCCCGAAAATACTAATAATTGTGTGTTCCCAAATCAATTACCTTTTTAGAAGAAAGTCATTGTGTTGTTTCCTGTTTAGAAATGGAAACATTAAAATCAATTGAAAATAATATGTTTTCTCTACAACAAACAGTTGCATCAGATATGGCGGCAATAAATTAAACATTGAATCGTGCTACAAAACAACTGTAAGTTTCATACATATTTTTAAGGGTAATAAACCCTATGCCAAATACGAAGCTGATGTTTCAATTTAGACTGCAAGGCTTGAAGAATATCGTACACAACTAGACGAAAAGTTTCCTGACAAACTTGTAAGTATATTGGAAAAAATTAGATTAATTCTTCCTCGATAGCGGTTATGCCCGCTTTTTCATAACAAAAACAAAAATATACAATTGTTACGATTGTCATTACAAACTTACGCCTTTTTGAGCCGAGCCATAATCGTTTACTACGGTTGCTCATATATCCGAAACCATGCAACAAGGTTGCCTAAAACAGGGATCAATCGGTAAAGAAAACTGGAATATGTCATCCCTCTGTATTAAACATTAACGGAAATAAAATTGCTGTGAATTTGAGATTTGTTGTAAAAAACGATATTTTCTGTTAAATGTTTCTTATTGAATGAGTTACTATATTTTATAGACAAATACTAATGATAAAATGCCTTACGTTAAACTATACAAAAGGTCATTGAGTCACACGAATAAGCGCAGTAGAAAAGCCTCTTGTAATGAAGTTAGACGAGGTACATGAAGTGCATCCAAGGATCGGCTAAAAAAGTCATTTAATATAATCTTACAAGCTCTGGGAACCTCATGCAAGATCATACGATATATTATACGATCTTACAGCTTCATATATTACGATCTTATAAGACCTTACAAGATCAGAAAATTAGGGGATGAAATAAAAAGGAATTTAAGAAACGTTGCTAGAACAAGGAAAAATTTGAAGTGAAAAACTAGTGTCTAATCAGTCGGTTATCGAATGTCAATAAAGTGTTTTCTAGGTACTATGTTCTAACCCATTTTAGGAAATACATATTTTTTCTTTGTTTTCACTGTGTATTATGTATAATGACATGCACCAGCAACGGTCTTAGCACCAGCTGAAGTCGGAGTCTTACTGATAAGTTGATTTTAGACATTGCTCAGATCCCATGTCGTGCAAACAGTCAAAATCTGCACAAGTTCTTTAAAGATTCTGCTTCTTGGAATTTCTTGATCAAGATTTCCTACGGATCTGAGTCTGACATATCTTCAAAATTCTGTATCAAGATCTTGGAAAGATTTGGAACTTTCTGAACTCATTAATGTAGTTACTAATTAGGAAAATTAGTTCCATATTTGGACAAGGTAGGTGAGAGAACGGTAACTACAAGAATTTTACACATATTGGTATTCTCTGTGGTACTGAATTATACAGGGTCTGACCTTGAATTCTATTGGCGTACTAGATGCACAAATGAATAAATTATACTTGGTGGTGGCTCTATCACCGCTTTTTTTTTATATATATATATAGATATATATCTCCACTGTAAAAAGTTGAGAAATCTTCAAGTTCGTTACGGACGTAACGTTCGACTAGACAGCTTCGGTATTGCCTGAACAGTGCCGTAAGAGCTGTGAATTTTGGAGTACTGTTGGCACAGTACAGTCCTACAGAGTGTCTTGTAGAATACAGTAGATAAAAATGAAAATAATACCTCACCAACCCAAAACCATTCAAGATTTATACAGATATCGAAATATCAGGATTTTGCTAATTAATTAATAACGAATTAATTGCTATGTTACAATCAGTTACATATCTTGATCAAGTTCTTTCAAGACAGATTCTGTAATAAAACTTGTCGACAATCCCAGAATCTTGTCAGATATCGATAAATCTGCATAAGATCTTGAAAGGACTGAACAGAAACTTAAGAAATCTTTCAAGTTTTTATCAAGATCTGCAGTCAAGATCTTTTACTTGGGTACTGGCCGTTCAATGGGCTCTTCGCCTTAAAGGTCTGAGGAACCATAGGAGGGGTGTCAGAATATCAGTACGCAGTGTATTCTCTGGGCTTGTTGGGCTTGGCGTATTCTGCATGAGGGTTAGGTTGTGTCGTCGTGTCTATCTAGCTGTGTTTGCCTAGTGGTCAACCAATCTGCATCTCTGGGTTGGGACAGGTTAGGTTATCATGTCTATAGTCAACATATATCACTAGATCTGTGGGTCGGGTTAGGTTAAGTCGTCACGTTTGTCTAGCTGTAACTGACTGGTATCCATCAGTTCTATATCTCTGAGTTGGATTATGTTGGGTCGTCATGTGTGTCTTGAAGTGTCTCACTAGGGATGAATAGTTCGATATTTGTGGGTCGGGTCAGGCTGGGTTACCACGTCTGTAAGCAACATATATCACTAAATCTCGGGGTCGGGAATCACTCCACAGAAACAGAAACACATGACGATTGAATAAATGTAATCAGTAATACAATATTATAAATGTATAGACAGACATGACGACTCAACCTTACCCGCCCCAGAGATCTAGTGATATATGTTGACTATAGACATGATAACCCAACCTAGCCCAATCCACAGATTTAGCGATATACGTTGACTACAGGCATGACAACTCAATCTAAGATTGACCCAGAGATGCAGATTGGTTGACCACTAGGAAAACACAGCTAGATAGACACGATGACACAATCTAACCCTCTATAAGGGCTGGGACGTTCTAGGAATTGATAAGCGGCTTGCTGTTGTCAAAATTCTTAAGAAGCCACTATTTGCCATCCTATGTCTAAAAGACTTTTACAAACCACGAGAAAGAGCGCTTTCAGAAGTACAAAAGGAACTGACTTCTCACTTATGCAACCCTTTTTGCACGGAAAGAATAGCAAAAGAAAAAGGTTCAAGTCGAAAACAATAACAGACTTTCAAAGTTTTCGGTTTTTTCGTCTTTCGTATAATCTGCGTAGTTTTCTTGATTGAAGCTCTAAAACTAAATTTTAGGTATGGTTTTCTAGAGCATTTCGTGGCTCATCTTTTTTAACAAAAACATTAACCGTTGGACCCTAAAGAAACACGCGAAAAACAGAAAATGCTAAGAGACCGTACCTGTTATAACTCCTGGGAACCTGACGATGAGAGGACGTTTGGTCAGATGTGAGATTTGCATAACAGATAGCTACCAGCGGGTTTTATTCTATTCATTAGCTGCGAACTTTCGTCGCACAGCACAGGAACTTTCGTCATAAAAAAAATCGAAAAACTGAAAGTTGCCGTTTTCTCGAAAAATCACAGCTTTT